AAAAAACCAAAACAAACAAGCAAAAAAACACCAAAAACCAAAAAACCCAAGGTAACCAAACCAGATTTATAAAATTATTAACACAGTACAGCAAAAGTACTACCTGGAGCCAGAAGGACTTGTACAAGTGGTATACATAGAAGGCAAATTTGTAAATACAATTTACTTGTTGCAGGAGTTTACTCCAATTAACAACTCTGCTCTGAGAATCCACACCTGTGACTTGAAAGCAAGGTTCAAGAAGGGTGAGAGAGGAAATGAAAGTTCCTCTGTTTCACCTGTGTGACCCCAACCACAGCCTGGGAACTAAGGAGGCAAGAACTCTTCTGCTGAATGTTTCTGCTGCAGGAGGCAAGCCATGAGTTCACAATTGCAAAATATTTGTATGTATTTTATTCTTTTTACCATCATATTTCTGAGTCTGTAGATCTGACTCAGGCTAAAAGTATGATGGAACTGTGCTTCTGAAATAAAACTTACTAAAAGAATGAACTGATGATTTTCTCCTTAGTTTAGGTTAGTTTACCACTTTTTATTTGTATTTTTTACTTTTCACATACAATTTCTTGATATTTCTTCTGTTATCTGTTTTTGTGGAAGTTAGAAATGCTATTCTGCTAGCTGCTGAATCGTAGTGCTCCATCAATCTGCTCTGTAAGCTCTAAAACCTCATGGATCAATGTGATACGGACATGGGATCAAAGGCAGAGTTTCTGAATTCATCTACAGGAACGTAATGCACAAGGGATAGTCTGCAGACCCAATGATTCGCAAGGCTCATGACTCAATTGAAGTTTCCTTTTCTGATATAATACACAAGTCCTAGAACAACATTTTGTTGGCTGGTTGGTTGGTGGGTTTTTTTTTGTTTGTTTGTTTTGTTTGTTTTTTTGGTTTGTTTTTTCCAAAGTAAAACTATCATAGAATAGAATTGTTTAGCTTGGAAAAGATCTTCAAGATCGATTCCAGCTGTTAACCTAGAACTTCTAAGTCCACCACTAAACCACATCCCTGAGTGCCACATCTACACAGGGATGGTGACTTAGCCATTTCCCTGGGCAGCCAGTTCCAATGCTTGACAACTATTGCCATGAAGAAATTTTTCCTAATATTCAATCTAAATCTTCCCTGGTACAACTTGAAGCCATTTCCTCTTGTCTCATTGCTTGCTATTTGTGAGAAGAGACCAGCATCCACGTCTCTTCATCCTCCTTTCTGGTAGCTGTAGAGAGCAATGCAGTCTCCCCCCAGAGTCTCCTTTTCTCCAGACTCAACAACCCCAGTTCCCTCAGCTGCTCCGCATAAGACTTGGGCTCTTGGCCCTTCATCAGCTTCATTGCCCTTCTTTGCCATGCATTTCTATTGCTGATGTAATTTCTCTTTTTAGAATACAATTACGTCATAAAGCCAGTACATGCTAAGCAGGTCCTCCATGGAATGAAGCAGATCTCCTTCATCTCAGGATTTGGCTTCAAGAGGTTTTTTTAGTCTATTAATTTGAGCAGTTTTACATGCTAAAAACAGTAACCAAATCTAACAAACCTAAAGCTCCTAAATCTCTTTTCCCCAGATGATGTAGCTATTTTAGGTAATATTTGATTTATATATATGCATCACACAAGTTTGTATGAAAATGGTGAGACAAACTTTCAGACAAACTTCTTCTGCTCTAAACTAAATCTTGTCTAATTGGTTTTCCATCAGTCTCAAATATTGCCATTCTGTGATTGTAACTTTTTTTTTTTTTTGGTGAAGTGAAACATTAAAAAAACTAAAGCAAGAGCGAAGGGTAGCCGAAAGATATTTGATAGCATATAATAGGTTCAGTAAATGTGGAACTGCTGTGCATCAGGAATTCTGCAACAGCCTCTTTGCCTCTTTGACTTTCCAAGAGTTACATTATTATGGATAAGCTCCTAAGCACTGTTATTTTCCAAGTGACGTTTTTCTGATAAGGTAGTATTTCTGTCAGTAGAAGACAGTAGGAGTTAACACCTGGGAAAAGTCCATCTTAGAGAACTCCAGGTCCTACACTTAGGAGTCCTATAGAAAAGGAGCTTTTCTCCATCTGTCTGCTTATAAAGAATTATTTTATTTTTAATTATTTTCTCTTATCAAAACATCTCCAAATGATGTTGGAATAATACTGTATGTAAGCATCAGTGAAAGAAGTGGGGGTAAGTTGGAAAAGATAGAATTTGGTTTGCCATCCCAAACCCTTCTCAGTCATCCTAAAACAACCTCTCTCAACTAGAATTCTCTTGAGAAATGAGAGGAAAGACTAAGCAGAAAGGGAGAGGTATCATCTCTTCTTCAACTTGTCTTGATTCAAGAGGAGGAGGCAGTTGGTGCTGCAGCGCCTAGAGGGGAAATGCCAAATTGGTAGTGCAATTCAAAAAGTGTTTGGGACATCTGGGGTTGATTCAAAGCCTTACTGGAGATTTCCTGTGTAAACAACGGGAATGCACTCAATCTCCGTATGACTCAGTTTCTTGTCTATAGTATAAGGAAAATAGATGGTATTGTAAGGCTAGATGTTCTAAAGATTGCTCAGATCACTAAAAGGGCTATAGAGTGTTTTTTTTTTTCTCAGTAATCCTGCCACCCCTAGAGAGGTTCTGAAACCATTTTAGCCAGTCCTACAGCATGTCACTCCCTTGCCCAATCTAGTGTACAACCTGTGAAAAGGAGAATGAAATTACAGCAAAACAGATTTACCAGCTATGATAATTAAGTGGACATGGTATGGTATGGTATGGTATGGTATGGTATGGTATGGTATGGTGTGGTATGGTGTGGTATGGTATAGTTGGTTCCAGGTCGGATGAGGTTTTGAACAACCTGATCTAGTGGAAGGTCTTCCTGCCCACGGTACGGGGGTTGGAGCTAGATGATCTTTAAGATCCCTTCCAACCCAAACCATGCTATGATTCTGCGATTTTATGAGTCTATGGTTCCATGATTCTATGATTCTATGGTGTGGTACGGTATGATGTGGTAAAAAAGTACTGATTTAGCAGTGAATCGCAATTTTTTTGGCAGTGCAACCTATATACATTTCCTCACAGCATGCAGCCGCCCATATAGCACATGCATAGCAACTGACAGCAGACTTGTTTTTCGCCTATTTCTCAGATTTAGTCTGCGGCTCCCTTCTTCTCCTTCCTTCCAGGGACCGCAGCCTGCAGGACTCTGCGAGCATCTCCTCTCCAGCCTGAAGTAGCCAAGGCACTCTGAAAGCAAACTTTGCCTTTCTTCTCCGGCTCTTGCTGCCAGCGGCATTTTGGGCTTTTCCAGCAGCGGTGCCCTCGGCGGGAGCGGGGTTAAGCCGGTAGTGGAGCCGTGGTGGGTGCGGAGCCGAGGCGGGTGCGGGGCCGTGGCTGGAGCGGAGCCGAGGCAGGAGCGGGACTGGGGAGGGGGTTAGAGTGGCACACCCGGCGTTAGAGTGCCTGCCCGCTCGGCTGGAAGCCCAGAGGCGCGGCTTTACGCAGCCCAGGAGATGGATTTTTCCTCCTCAATCCTCTTTCAAGCTCTAGGGTGAAGTCCACTGAACTTCCCAGGGTCGTGCAGGCACAGCGCTTATACGCCCTAACTGAGGTATTTCTGAGGGATGAGGGGAGTGAGGTGCTATCGATGCTCATCTCGCCATTCCAGAGCTGGATGGCTTCTTCGACCTCTAGTTATGTAGTAACAAGGGGAAAATTTCCTGAAATTAGACTACTGCAGGAACTCTGGTTTTAGTCACAGCTGTCAGCAGAGAAACAAATTTCCAGGCATTTTTAATCTAATTCACTTAATTTTTATGTAACTGAATTAGAAAATGTGATTAAGCATCGCAGAAACTTATTAGAAGTAAGAAGAAATGGTGAAATCATCTATATGGGTTTGGTATAATCGTTACTTACTGAGTAGGAGGATTAGAGGCATAGAAGTTCAAAGGGGGGGGGGGGGGGAGGGGGGAGAGAAAAGAAAAAGAAAAAAAAAGGAAAGAAAAGAGGAAAAGAGGATAATGACCTCTTTAGCTGAAATTCCTGCCGCCAGAAATTCCTTTGGCAGGTATTTGTGGCAGGCACTGAACAGACACAGTGCACCACTGAACGGCTCTGCACTGCCGGCCAGCCCGCGGGTCCCCCTCCCACTTTCCCCGTGTTTCTTTCACTGCTGCCCCCAGACCTCTCTGAGGCAGGGAACTCAAAGGAGAAAATTGAAGGCTTGAAACTGTCTGATTGTTCCTCTTTGGGGCAGTGGCTCCGACCCCTAGATGTGGGCTGGAGATACGTTAGCAGGAATACTGCCTTCCTTCCCGCTCACGGGGGCTCAATGCGTTGTCCAGCCGCTCTCCCTTGCGCGCTAGCACAGTGGGTGCCGGCGCTGGGATCAGCGGAACGGTTACAAGCACCGACGGTGCTTGGATGCACCAAGCGCTGCTTGGATGTGGGGGCCAATCCGTTTCCCATGAACACACACACGTTAAACGAAAAAGCAGAGACTGGTAAACACCCTGCCGCCTGTTAACGTCAAGCTAAAGCCCGTAGAAAGATTTGGGGTTTAAGACAACTGTCCCTGCTGCACAGCCCCTGCGGCTTCTGCGCGCGGCGGCCCATAAGACGACGCTCCCCAGGCAGAAGCCACTGACAGGGACGAGCTTGTGCTGAGGCAGCGAGGGACCGGGTCGGTATGCCTACACTGGCTAAGAGCTAGGGAGAGGAGCAACCGTGGGGCCGAGGAGGGAGATCAGCAGAGAAGCACTGGGGGCGGGAGCGAAGGGCCCAGGGGCTGCAGGGACGTCCCCTCGAAGCCGCTGCAGATGCAGACAGGGTACGCGGTGCGGGGAGACCCTGGAGCCCCCTCCAGCAGCCTGCTCTCCTGCTTTGCGAGGCCGAATCACGCTGCCAACAGGACCTTGCTACCCGCAAAACTAACTCATTAATATAAATCAAATAATGTCGGGGGGCGGGGAGGGGGGGGGGGGGGGAAGTAGAGCGCGCGGCTGTTCATGAGTTAAATATAAGTCTCTGACTGTCCTAAACAAAGCTACCGTCCCCTTGGGAAGGGTGACGTCTCCACAGTAACGTGATTGCTTCTTCGGAAGCAGAAACGTGTAAACGCTATAAAACGCGGCAGCGCGGCGGGCAGCTCAGAGCGTGTGGCGAGATCGGAGCTCTCCTCTGCTTCCTCCTCTTCGTCATCCGCCACTTGCTGCCGCCGACGCCCCAGAGCAGCGCAGCCCCGCAGCGGGGCAGGGCGCAGGCCCCCAGCAGTGCTCCGCTCCGCTCGGCTCCGCGCCCGCCCAGCCAGCCCCATCGACAGACTCGCGGCTCCGTGAGTAACTTTCTCTCCGCCGCAGCGGCAACTTCCTAGCGGACGGGGAAGGTGTCCCCGTCCGCCGCTCCTTTTCTCCCCTCCCGGACCTGCAGGGCAGGAGCCTCGGCCGTCGAGCCGCCGAAAGCGGGTCTGACCGCCAAGGCAGCCGGGGAGGGACCCTTCCTTTTGAACGCTAAAAAATTAGTGTATGTTTTAAGATCTTCCAGCCCCGCGTGCTGCTGCCCCCAGCGCCCGGCCGGGGGTCGCCCCCGGGGGTGCCAGCTCTCCCTGTCCACCGCAGCTCCCCCTCCACGGGCACTCCGCTGCTGGCGGCACCTCCCGGGGCAAGGGCAGGTACCGGGTTGTTTGTTCGGCGGCCTGAGGCGAAGCGCCGGTGCCCCGCGCAGGGCCGGTGGTGGCGGCGGGCGGGTCGGTGGGTGACGGCTGCGCTTTTCCCTCCGCAGGTGGCAGCCATGGAGCACCGCGGCACCTCCCCGCTTCTTCTCGCCCTCGCCCTCCTCAGCGCCCTCTGCTGGCGGGCGCGGGCTCTGCCCCCGCGAGGAGCCGCCTTCCCTCCCGTCCCTCGGTAAGGGCCGCACTCCGCTTCGCGTACTGCTCTGCTCCGCGCACCGCCGCGGCTTGCCCTCCGCAGGGGAGGTCGAGGGGGCTGTGGGGAGCGCCAGTCTTCCACTGTGCTGATTTCCCCGGCAGCACACAGCGCGGCGCTGCGGTCCCTGTTGGGGTGCTCTCCCGGGTGCGCGTCTCCGCGCCCCAGACTGGGGTGGAGCACCCCTGGCCAACCCGGCCGGTGCCCGCCGAACCTGTCTTTTAAAAGCCCCGAAACACGCAACGGCAGAGGATGTGCCTCGAAATACGCTGCAGGAGATGGTGCACGTCCATCTAAGCAGCCTGGGTTTTTCTTGCGGGAAAGGTTCTTTACCTCCGACTAATAGGAATGCTAAAAATTCTTCATCATAAACGAGGGGTAGTGGTCCGTATGGACCTATGTGTAGTTTTTGTGCTGCTGCATGCTTTGAATTGTTGAAGATGTTATTAACTGTTGAGCTAAATTAAGTCAGATGGCAGAAACGTGCATTTTACATTTAGGCAAGAGGAACATAAAGTGTAAAAAGACCAGTTGAAAACAGTATAGCAGAACACCATGGCCACTGATTTTCAAAAAGTGACAAGTTGGTTTATTTTGCATAACTTTACAATTTTTAAAAATTTTTTTTTTTATTTTTTTTTTTTGCCAGGGAGAAGTCTTACATGCCTCAGATATATAAGTAGTACTAATAGCTATAATAACTAATGGCTAAAATTGCAGGGACAGGAGCCTGTCCTAGTTTTAGAATGACTTTTGCACGTCATCACATGCAGGGGTTTACTGTGGCAATGGGAGCTTGTTGTATGCCACTGAACATAAGAGCAGCTAGAGGAAACATCTGATACCAAACTACTGCTACGCAGTCAGATTGCCCTTGACAAAACTTGACAAACCATAAGAAAGAGCAGGTTATGAAAATATGAAATAACTGTAAATCAGTTTATAGAGAGCAATTGCCATGATTAAGAGGTTAAATGTGGACCTTTTTTAACTGTCAATTAGCAAATTAGTTTAAACATGAAAGAATAAAACCACGCATGTAAAGATACATGACTGTACTTAGTATTTAGTTTGAAGTTCTTGAGGATGTATTTACTTTCTCTAGAGATGGGCTAATACTGCTTCATACTGCATATCAATGCATGTTTTAAGTCTTAATTGGAAGGTAAGTACTTTGTAGAGACAGTTTTCACTTTGCATGACTGGAGGCTGGTAATTCCATCCATTGTTTATATAAAATATAGTTGTCACTTGAGCTGTAATTGCCATAGGTTATGCATTGTTCACTGGAATAAATTATGTGCACCGACAACATATATCTAGAAAATATGCATTAGAGGGAAGGATCTGTTATGCCAGTTACCACTGAGCATGGATTATACCTGAGACTACTTTAAAATGCCTCACAGGTTAAAGTAGGTAGATGTGCATTTTGACACAAACCAGAATGTAAGCTGCATTGAAGTGTTGCACATCCCCAGTTAACTGTACTTGACATGGTTTCCTTCTCCAACAGACTGGGAAACAGAATGCCATTTGATGGAGCCAGTGAACCTAACCATGCCCACGGGTCATTAAAGTCTGAATCAGACATTTTGCAGAACACACTACCTGAAAACGAGAAATTCTATTTTGATCTGTCCAGAATTATTGATAGGTGAGTTTCTTTATTGCTATAAATACAAATGATGACATGCTACTTGAATTACGTCAAAAGATTGGTCACATTTTCAAACTGAGAAATAGGAAAGGGAGAATCAATTATAGAAAAAAAGAAAAGAAGCACGTGGCCTCTGGTTGCAGTAAGAATGTCTGCAGAAATGTTGATTGCATTGCCATTCTGGCATGATGAATTCACTCACTTGCCAGGAAGAGCTAGAAAGTATATTGTGAAAATCCGGAAGTTGTTTTATAAAATTAGCTTAATTCAATATGTACAATAGATAAGGAAAGCAGTATGTTTACAAAATGAACGTTATCAAAATGATACGAACGCAGGTTGTATTGTAGAGTTTATTTATTGTCCATTTCAGAAATACAAGGCATGCTGATGGAATTTTCACCAGTGTCTACAGCCATCTTTTGGCTAAACTTGCTGTGAAGAGATATCTGCATTCGCTTATTAGAAAACGAGTTAGGTGAGGTGACACTTACATTAGGTAGATTTTTGTCCTAGCTGGCTTCACTGGCAATTTTTTACCCTTCTGTACATAAGTTCTCAATTTTGTGATTTAGAGATAATGAAACACAAGCTGATATAATGATGGGGGAGCTGAAAATCCTATATAAGATCTTAGAGGTATTTGTTACTAAATGCGTATGTTGCTATTTATTCCTGATACAGCTGTGAGGGATAGAGTGACAGACACTGCACGTAACACTGGTGATAAATACTGGCAATGTTGTAATGATTATCACACCAATTTGCTAATTTTTTTCTTCTGGTAGTGTTTTTACTAGCTTGGCAGATGAATGGCAAAAGTAAATGCAAAATGAATGATTACTCACTACTTATATAACAACAGGGGAATGCTCAATGAAATTAAAAAATGTTTGGTTTACAGAGAAAACAAGAATAATCTTTTCTTTCTCCCACTGAAGAACATATTGCCAGATGTTTGAAAGATCTGTAGTACAGAAAGATTCAAAAAAGAATGAGGCAAATCCATAGACAAGGGGACTGGATGGAGCTTCCAGACCAGGATGTTTGTGGGGATGATAGGATGCTAGGAAGGAACACTGCATACTTAGTTCCCCGTTTTCACATCCCTAAGCAGCAGCTGCTGGCCCCTTTTGGAAAGGAGTAGTTGAATACTTTGGTCTGACCCAATATGACCGTTCCTTTGAGTGCCTACTTCATATGCTCAAAACCTAAGTGAAAATTAGGTCCTGAATTTATGTCAATGCTGCCTTTGTTCCAGAACACAGAGTGCCAGTTTCTCATACACTGTAAGCTAATACAGATCATTTAAAGCAGAACACACCAAGGCTTTTCAAGATTGTGCATGAAAAATAGTCCTCTAAGTTTTGATTTCACAAGGTGTGTTTTATCTCTTGATACCTCCTTAAAACAAATATCTGTAGCATGTTTGTGATGCTGCACTTTTACTGAGAGGCAGGCTGTGTTCTCACTGAGTTCAGTATGAACAGTGAGAACTTACTGTGACTTAAACCAGTCTGCACCTGAAAAATAAAGTCAGATTATTGAAAAGACTAAGCTGGACTATGAGAACAGACAGGAGGGAGTCATAAAATCCATACTCAGCCTGCAGGATCTCTGGGATGGGGACTCCAGAAATCATTGAATATGGATCCTAATTGCATGGAGCATGGCAGAGTTGAGCAGGAGAACAAATTCAGTGGAAGTTGTTCCTAAAAAGACTGAATACTGATCCTGAGAGTTTCATTCTTGTTACTAAAAAATGTAGTTAGCAATAGAAGCAGTGACTTCTTTTCAACAGAAGATAGATACAAAATCACAGTTGGAAATGAAAGCTGAAATGAAATTTTGAATTTACTTAGCTAATCAACATTATAAAGTTTGTTTCACTAATATAATTGTATCTTCTTTTAAATGGATATTGTCTATTAATTTTTTCTTTTTAATTGTTGCATTGCCAGCTCCCAGGACAGTCCTGTCAAACGCCACTCTGATGCTGTCTTCACTGACAACTACAGCCGCTTTCGAAAGCAAATGGCTGTGAAGAAATACTTAAATTCAGTTTTAACTGGAAAAAGAAGGTACTACAAGAAAATAAATATATATTCTTTCCGTACTTGTGTGGTATTAAGACAGAAAAGATTTATGCCCATGTATAGATACAGAGAGGACAAACAAAAGGCAATGAACATTAATGACTTTGTAACATAATTGATAACATGGTTTTCAAATACAGACAGCATTTTCTTCTAGACTGTAACAGACACTACAATCAGATTAGAATAAAAGAATAAAGAGGAGACAGCATCTGGCAATTTTAAACAGATTCTGACAGATTCTTGAAATGGTTTTATTTATAAAAAAAAGACTCTTAAGGAAAAATCCACTGAGCTACAGAACATGAACAACAATTTTATGAACAAAATGTAGTATTTGTTGTACAATTGTCTGCCAGTAAATGCATAAAATGCAAATTTAGAAGTCCGAGAAAGTACCTATGTCCTAGTGTATAGGTGGGACATGCCAGCATATGTTTTTGTAGACCTTATATTCTGTTTGTATATTCACTCCTTTAGACAACTGCTTTTAAACATCACATGTCTTCATCCATTAAACATGCTATTTCATGTGATGTATAAAACTTTGGTACAAGTGTAACAAAATGCGCAATAGCTACACTGCTTTTTCTTCTGAGAGCAATAAATCTTGTTTCTGACCCGCAACAGCCAAGAAGAGCTAAACCCTTCTAAACTTCGAGATGAAGCAGAACTTCTTGAACCTTCCTTTTCGGAAAACTACGATTCTGTAGATGAGCTGCTGAGCCACCTCCCACTGGTATGCCCAGATTTTCTTTCCTCTTGCTGTCTATTACTTGACTTGACCCATAAAATGAGATTATTCATACATGAAATGTGGCCTATCAGAAAAGTGGAATCATCTAGGAAAGCCATGTTCCATGAAACGCTACATGTTTCTATAGGAATTGTGTCTGAATATAACAATCATTTTAATAACAATAATTAAGTTATCCCATGGTTACTGTTATTGAAAATTCCTAATTAAATGGCACTGTTAATAATGCACCTAACTCACTTGGATGTTTCAACTTGCGTGCACTGCCGCATAAAACCAGAATCGACTCATTTTTAATGACAAAGATTATTATTTCTTCAGAGAACAAAATCAAGGATATTCCTTTTAATTAAAAAAGAAAAAAAAAAGCTTCCCTTTTTTTTTTTTAACATCTATTTTATTGGAAGGGAGTTGCCCCTAAAACTAAGAGGTTCAGCAGCATGAGCCCTAAACATTAAGAAAGCACTTGTCTCCCATCTTATGTGTGATGCAGAGGGATCATCTGACAAGCAAATATTGCAGTTACTGCTTTCCATTTAGCTACTACTATTTTTCTAAATGTCATTCACAAATATGTTACTTTGTTTTACCAAAAGGTACCTGAAAGAGTAGTGTAGAAGTAAATTGGGCTTATTTTTCTGAAACGCATATTATGAAATTGATGATAGGATGTTTTTTGACATTCAGCTGTGTCTCAGCTACAAGTAAGAAAGAAGGCTACTCTTGAAGATAACATCTGGGGAAGAGGGGAGATAAAAGAGAAGGTGTTTCTCCAAACTGTTGTTTCCGTCCAAGTCTGAAAGGAAATGTTTTCCTTTCCACAAATGTGGCAGTTCCTCTAAAGTTCCTAAAAATTAGAAGGAACATGAACTGCTTATACCTTAAGGAACAAAATAATTTGTGAATGATTGGATTCTGGACAGAAATATTATTTCTAGAGAAGATTATTGCAAAAATACTTGCTTCTGGTGCAATATTTGCACCTTCTAAAACTTCTGGCACTGACCAAGTGAGAGAGTGTAGTGGTGCACTGTGTCACAGGTGTTTTCCTGGCCATATTTTCAGTCTTTTCCTTTTTTACGGGCTGTAGTGATGATCCAGATCTCCCTGGAGGGAGGTAAATCACTTACCCAGTATTGACTGTTACCAGCCGTTTTGTCCCAGTGCCCTCTTGCCGATGTGGTGTGTGTATCAAGCAACCTGAATTTGAGTATCCATTTCAAGGATACAGTTGTTTTCAAACTTAGCTATTCTGTGCTGTAGGAACATATTTGCCTAACCCTTCAACATTTTTTCCTCATCCTGCAGCCTTGTCTGCTGGCTGTAATGCCCACCAAACTCTAGTGAATAGCTCCATCTCATGCCTGTTAGTCCCAAGCGCAGCAAATGTTTTAGATCAAGACTTACTTCTTGTCCTCTATCTGCTTTTATACTTCTCACAATGCAACTGCTTACAAAATTATTTTTAAAACATACTTCTCCTTTGCTTTTCAGGACCTCTGAAGGACACCTGGTAAAGTCTATGACAAGAACAAGCTATTTTTGAGTTCCACGTAGTATTTCAATGAGATGACTTTAGTCATCAAACCAGAACAAATATGTTGTGAAGTGAAAGTTGTGATATATTTGTTTCTTATGTAATAAAAGTTGATATTTACATTGTAAATACTAGAGTTCTCTACTGAAAGCTGTACATATGGATGCCAGTTTAACTCATGAGAAGTCTGTGAGTCCATATGCTGTAAATCCTTTACTTCAATAAATTCATTTGAAAATGAGTGTGCGGCTGAAATGAGCTCATCATTACTAATTAAATGGCTTATTTTAGGTGTGGTACAACCAGATAACCCCATATGATGATAGGGATACATTTCCAGATAACTTCATAAACAAGTGTAAAAACATGGGGAAAATAATAGGCAAAGTACGTAAAACGGCATTACAAAAGTTTCTGAAAGCCATTGCCAAGCAAAAGGGAATGCTTTTCCAGCAGCTTACAATGCAACTTGAGAATATGAAAAAGTGTTAAAAGTTATTTGACTTCCAACAGCATCTTTCCCTCCTGTCCACATTTTTGATATCTTACAATATACCAGTTACATTAAGACCAGAAATGTATCCTTCCTTTTCAGTTGTGTTTTGGATGCTCTGGAGATGACGAAGCACACAAAGAATGCTGTCCCTTGATTCGTCTGATACCTAAAGTCACCAGTTATTCTACATTTAGTTGTCTGTATCTTTGATGATGAAACTATTCCTTCTACACAAAACAGATCTGAAGATACTTTACTATTTTTTTTTCAGAATGAATGTAATTTACAGAATGTGCAGGTAATAATTAATTTTATTATCATGTCAGACTATTATTGGTTTGAATCAGTGCTACACATATCTGGAGCAGCAGAGGTCCCAATAAGTGCTGTTTCTGCTGTAGTAGTAGAAGAAGATAGTATTTTTTAACTGAGGCATATACTGTGTTCTATAAGGAAGACAAGCAAGTAAGCCTTCAGTCCCCATTTAGCTTTATATCATTGAGCTAAGTATGGAACTAGAAATTTGCAGCTCATTTGCTATTGCTCTGAGTCAGAATCTGGTTGTATTTTATTAAAATTGTAGATTTAACCAATTGGATCATATTCTAAAGAATTTAAAGACCATTACAGTAAGGAAAATGTGCATGCAGAACATATGAAATGTATATTCATGCATGGTACCAGGCATAATACTCCCATGACTCTCCTCCCACCTCCTAGAAAGAGATGGAAGTAGAAAAACTTACCAGACCTACTTACAAGTTCAGTTTGGAATTTCAAGTATATTTATACGTCATACATATGCACACATAGACAGTGATAAAACTGATTTACAAGTTTCAGTTACAAGTTTACTGTTCTCATTTAGAAGGAAGCTTCAAACATGATAGAATTTGAGATTTATGGAGACTAGTTCTCATAAATATGTAGGCTTCAGATCTGCATTTTTTTCTTTTTTTTTTTTTGAATATTGGTAACTGCATGTCAAAAGAAAACCATCTTACATAGATCAGATGTTATAATTGCTATTTCTATCTAGCCTTAGCAGAATTTATTTTAGCCTAAACTAATGAATGGTCACAAAATTTAGACATAATTTTGAAGTCTTCTTTTGAGAAGTGATCCACTCTTAATTCCTATCTTATGAAAATCTGAGTGCAAAAGTGACTTTGAAAATACTTGAAGGATACAACCACACTGATGTCACACTACTTAATCATGAATTTTCTTCAGTGTATTTGGAACTTTGTTGTAATTTCTGTGATAAGTGATCTTTAAAAAAAGTAAGAGAAAAAAATTTGCCAGAAACAAAGCTGCACACAGTCTTCATACACAGAACATTTTGTTCATTCACTCAATTGAAAGTAACAAAAATTGGACTGATCAAACTTTGGACTCCAAAATTCCAGATTTTTTTCCCTAAATTTGCTTTTGCTTTAATTTATTTCCAATTTACCAATTTATTACCAATTTACACCTGGTAGAAGAACTTGTCTCCCATGTTTAATGTTTATTCTCCCCAGTATCTTAATCTGCATGCAAAACCGCAGAACCTTAGAACATGTATTCTCTGTTACAATGGAGATGGAATGTATTACTGAAAAAAGGGATGTTTATTAGGAAATCTTATATATAAAATAAATATTTAACACCTTCATTGTAATAAGTAAAATAATACTTTGGTAGCTTCCTCAGACGGTTAGTAAGTACAGTCTAAATGGCATGCTGAATTTTATGTACATTTTAGCAAAATATAGTAGTGAAAGGAGATGGTAACCTCCAGAATAACATACATGACAATATTTATGTTAAAAGATGGCTTTTAACTTGTCATAGCAACTTTTGACATTCTGTAGGAGATATAGACCTGTTAATACACTGAAACTAGTTAATTGTGGAAGATGAAGCATTCTTCACTCCAGTTCCACAGGCAAGTGGTTATAGCAAGGTTAAATTATAAATTTGAAGAGAAACTTGCAATGTTCACACAGTGAGACAAATTTTTAGTCTGTCAATGAGCCTTAACATGTCAGCAATCTTACAATCCACCTGCAAAATGTCATGAGAGTGGAATCAGTGTATTAATTAGGAGAATGAAAGGGGTAAACCTGAAGAGGATGTCAAGAGGACTGCTAGGAGTTAAAAAAATACTTGTGGGATTTAGGAAAGCATTGTTGGCAGAGAGAATACAACCACTCAGAAGGAAGGAATAGAACTGTGGAGGGTTATTAGGATATATGTTAAAAAAAAAAAAAATCTCATCATGTTTCCCCAGAATTTCACTTCTAACATAGGATAGGTACACCTGCCATCTTAGAGGGTAGAACCCATTACTTTTTTGTTTTATTGAATGGGGTTTGTTTTTCAGACCTACTTCATGGAGCTGTTAATGTAAGAGTCAGAATCACTTTTAAATGCATCTTTATCAGCACTGGAAGATGATATTTTCTGGTATTGAAAGCACAGAGAGGATTTGCATGCTTTTGTGTATGTGTACAATCATTACCCACTCAAGAGCAACCCACAGGATTGTGTATAAAACCATGAGAAATACAAAAGTTGACAAAACATTTTAAAATTACAGCCGCTAAAAATAAATGAAACCCTAACAACTCCTCTGATATTTTAAATAGCTTTGATGGGCTACGAGTATTTGTTCCACCTGAAAGTCTGAGATAAAATTTTTGTTTAAAAACATGAAAATGGATAACTTGGATCCAAAACATTGGTATAACTTCATGTATAAGAATATTGAACTCTTCCCAAAGACAGATGTTTTGGTAATACATATTTGTATACGTGAGTCATTTATTTGTTTGCAAGGTATTAAGGAAAGGTAGCTAGAAAAGGCTGTCCATTGCCTCTTGTGATACTACCTATCCTTTCCACTACTTCTTTTATTTTTCTTTGTTTTTTTCTCTCCCTCCTCCACTTACCACAAGCTTACCCACTATTTGTTAATTCTCTCACCTTTGGCTTACAGTTAGTGTGTGAATGTATACCTATGTTTGTGAGAGGAACAATTGCAGTAGACCTTAAATTTATTGTGCAGCAATCTAATAACTGCCAGCCTTAGTTATGGAAATGAATACTGCAAAGAACCTGGCACAAGCAGATTTGCAGGAGCAACCTGTCCTGCTCACATACAGTCCCTGACTTCTTACTGGAGATTTCCCATTTGGTTTGTGACTGGCTCAGAAGGCTGACCTTTCCTTGGACACGTCAAACAGAACTGTGTCAAGTTCTTGCACATCAGCTTTTTGATGGAGAAGAAATGATTTATATGGAGTCTGGGTGGCTTTTAGTTGTTTGCTTATTTTATGTATTATTGAACTGCTTTTTACTGAAAGTGTCTGCAAGTATGTTTGACAGATGCCTTATCCCCATTTGTTGCTATTCTAACCCAGCTCTTCGTGTTTGTCTTTCAGCCAGTCCTTCCCATAATCACAGCCAGAGCATCTACACACTGTTTTAAGCAACCAGTTTTGCTTCTTATTAGGGAGCATAGAAAGCAAACTGCTGTATTCTAGGAATTGTCATTTTTATGACAAAGCTAAGGATATATAATTCATGGAGAAAGTCTGAATCTTGGAAAGAAAGTAAGAAGAGTTTGAAAAATTCTGAGTTTGGTGTCGATGGCTTCAGTCCTGTCTAGTGATTTCCCTCTGGAGCATTGTGTTGTGCTTGGCATTGCAAAGCTGGTGCCAGAGCTCTGATCTTGAGAAGTGAAACATGTACTAAAAAAGAAGAAACTGGTAAATATTGAGATAAAGCAGGTGAAGATTGTGTCTTCCAAAGAAGTGCCTGGTGTTAAACCTGATTTATATACGGCTTTTTGTTTTCTATAGATCAAAGATGCCTGCTTTGAGAAGAAAGGAGTCATCTCTTACTGTAAGATGACCTCACATCATGCAAGTCAATTCATTAACTTAACAAATTCTATCAGGAGCAGAGCTGGGTTCTTTATCCCCTAATTCTGCTGCTGCATGGCAGCTTCTGGTTCTAGTGGCTGTACTTATTTAGAACATTGATTTAACTGGCAGCCAGTCACTGTCAACTGTGTGACAGACACCTTATCAACCATTCGTGACCATGCCAGTGTCTTCATTGTAAGAATACTATTACTCTTGCCAGGGAGTTGCATTCCTAGGTCTATTTATAGATTGCATTTCCCTCCCAGCCTTTGCTTTCTTAGGCTAAAGAAACAAAGTCTGTCTTGTCTCATATTGTAAATGAATCTTCATTTCTGAGACCATGCTGGAGCAACATGTCCAGAGGGGTCAGGTTCCAGAGTGGTTTTAAGACTCCTAAATTAGAGTTTACCAGATGCAGCTCTGAAGTTACTAAATTACTCTGAACATCTTTTCTTTATTGCTGTTGTTTTGGAAAAGTGATTTTGAGGGCCTCTGTTTAGAGAGCATTGGAAAAGCTGGTTTCTCAGTCTGGATATTTTTTTTGTTGCTTCTCAAACATTTCTGAATTTACAAAAGATGAGGAAGCAGAGTCACCAAGCACTCGAAATACGATATTGTTTTTGAGGTGGGTGGAGGGAGAGACACTCAGTCCTATTTAAAATGCATGTAAAGGAAAACTGGATTCTTAAACAGGCAGATGCCTAGGTTATTAGGTAGTTTCACCTAGATCTCTGAATACATCCTTTTACATGGCTATAGGCTGTATTTTTTAATCCGATTTCCTTAATCCTGCAATTGAGGGAGATGACAAATGAACCCCTCGTGCTGCCT